GGAAAAGAAGAAGAAGAAGAAGAGAAGAGATTGGATTTATACCCCGCCCTTCACTCGGAGTCTCAGAGCGGCTTACAAACTCCTTTCCCTTCCCCTCCCCACAACAGACACCCTGTGAGGTAGGTGGGGCTGAGAGAACTCTGACACAAACTGCTCTTTCAGGAACAGCTGTGCCAGAGCTTGTGACTGACCCAAGGTCACATCAGCAGGTGCAAGTGGAGGAGTGGGGAATCAAACCCGGTTCTCCCAAATCAGAGTCCGCACACTTAACCACTACACCAAACTGGCTCTCTCGTGTGTGCTCAGATACATTTCTTCAAGCACAGCACAGCACAAGTTCTGGGGTTCCCATCTTGGTGAGCAGTAGTTAATAGCTGAAGCCTTGGAGAACATCACATGCTGGGGACTGTGTCCTCTCACAGCACTCCACAGTGCCCCCAGCACTCACTTGATAAGGTAGACGTCGTACTTCCCCGCCGAGCGGCCGGATTTTCTCTGCTTGAGCTTGCGGGTCCAGCCTTCGGGCAAGGTGGGGTCGTCGTACATGGGCCCACGGTCCCGGATGACGGAGCGGCGCTGCTTGGGGGACGCCGAGGCTTCAGGGGCAGCTGGGGCAGATCCCGCTTCTTCCGACATCTCTGCTTTGCCTGCTTCCGCGGGTTCCGCAGAAGGCTGTGCTGGCTCATGCTGTTTTTCCTCCTTCCTTTCCTTCTTGACCTTTTTGGCTTTGGAGGACTTGTCCTTCAGACCCTGCAAGTCTTGGTCCTCGGATTTTTCTTCCCTGCAGGAAGGGGGAACAAAAACTCATGTGAGTGCTAAGCCTGCTGCGGAACAAGGTGTGAATGGGGTGGGGACAGGAAGCCCCCAAATACAGCCACTGCCAAGGGGGGGTGGGAAAGTGCCATCAAGTCGCAGCCGATTTACGGTGACACCGTAAGATACTTAATCGCAAGGGACGTTCGGAGGTGGTTTGCGACTGCCTTCTTCTGCATAGCAACCCTGGACTTCCTTGATGGTCTCCTGTCCAAGTACTAACCAGGAATGACCTTCTCACCTTCCGTGAAATGACAAGATCGGGCTAGCCTGGGTCATCTCAGCCGCTGCCAATATAAAACCCATCATCCTAATCGTTTTTTTTTTAAACCCTCTGCTCCAGATGCACAGTTTTGGTGCACTCTCTGCTGAGGATTCAACAAAAACAGTAAGTGAGGGACTTCATAGTGAATTCCTGTTTTTAATTTAAAAGATACCAACTATATTCACCGGCAAACATATGACATTAGCGGTTGTAGATTTTCCGGGTTGTATGGTCGTGGTCTTAGAACATAAGAGATGCCAATATTGGATCAGGCCAAAGGCCCATCCAGTCCAACACTCTGTATCACACAGTGGCCAGAAATACCAGTGCCATCAGGAGGTCCAGCAGTGGGGCCAGGACATTAGAAGCGCTCCCACTGTTGACCCCCCCCCCAAGCACCAAGATGACAGAGCATTACTTGCCCCGGAGTCCCTATCTATACCTTGTGGCTAATAGCCACTGATGGACCTCTGCTCCATATGCTTATCTAATTCCCTTTTGAAGCCGTCCATGCCTGTAGCCACCACCACTTCCTGTGGCAGTGACTTCCAAGTGTTTGCAGACCTCCATCTTTCTGTGTTATACCTCTGAGGATGCCAGTCACAGTTACTGGCGAAACGTCAGGTCCTACAATGCCAAGGCCACGGCCGTACAACCTGGAAAATCTACAACCGCTAATGAACTCTGGCCATGAAAGCCTTCGGACAACAAACGTATGACAAATATTTAAATATTCCAAAACATATCCTATCCACTGATTTCAGTTGGCTCACACTGGAGTAGTTCTGCACGGGATTGCAGGGCTAGCGCACCACAAGGGAACATTGAGCTATGAAGAGGCAAAGGCAACAACAACACAATTATATGCAATGCCTGAAGTGGGGATCAATACCACTAAACACAGGGCACTGTTGGGGTAAGGTAATCCAGATACTCCTACACAATGCACTGAACACATTTCTTTTCTAGCAGAAATCGCGAAACGTACAATATTGCCGTAATAGGGTGAGTCATACTGAAAATCGACATGTTCACAGAAGCAAAACTGCAGTGCCGTTTCAGAATGTTAGTGCAGATACATGTTTTAATACATAGCCCCATAGTTGGGTGACCCATTCTCCCCCTCTCAAGGAACAAGACCAGAGATCATTCAAAGCATCAGAAAGGAAATCAGGACAATGGAAGAGGCATTTGGGAGGGAAGACAGAATGATATGGCCCGATCTTGTCAAATCTCGGAAACTGAGGAGGGTTGGTACTCAGATAGGAGACCACCAAGGAGGGGTCTGTAGGGGAAGGTAATGGCAAACCACCTCTGCTTCTCACTTGCCTGGAAAGCCCCTTATGGGGGTCACTAGAAGTTAGAAGCTAAGCAGGGTCAGTACTTGGATGGGTGTCTATCAAGGGAGATTCTGCAGAGGAAGGCAATAGCAATCTACCTCTGTTCCTCACTTGCCTGGAAAAAGCCCCTTGTGGGGTCACTAAAAGTCGGAAGCTAAGCAGGGTCAGTACTAGGGGTGTGCATTCGATAAATCCGATCCGAAAGACCCCCTGAAAAAAGTCTTCCTTGAGCTTTTTCGGATTCCAAAAAAATGAATCCCGAAAAACCCGATTTTTTTTCCCCCCTGCACACCCCTAAGTCAGTACTTGGATGGGAGACCACCAAGGAAGACTCTACAGAGGAAGGCAATGGCAGTCCACCTCTGCTTCTCACTTGCCTTGAAAGCCCTTTCCTGGGATCACCACTGAGACCGTTGTGACCTGACAGCATTGAAGCACATATGGTACAGGCACTTGGCATGTAATGTCTCAGAAGGGCATGGCAGTTGATGGTGGCTGTCAACACTGGATTTCCTTCTCCCAAGCAAGTGGGACTCGGGTTCTCTAGTTATTTCAGCTGTCCCATTGTCACCCATTCTCCAACAGTCCAGAGAAAAGCCTTCCAGAAACATCTAGGGATGCCAGCCTCCAGGTGGGACCTGGGGATCCCCCCGAATTACAGCTCGTCTCCAGCCCGCAGAGATCAGTTCCCCTGGAGAAACTGTATGCTTTCGAGGGTGAATTCCGCGTCACGATACCCCACTGAGGTCCCTGTACTCCCCAGGCTCCATCCCTAAATCTCCAGGAGTTTTCCAACCTGGCTCTGGCAAACCTGCCCCCCTTCATCCTCCACCTACGGCCAAGGGAGACCTGGCTACAATGGAAGCATCTCGTTCAGCCATGGGAGTGCCTGGGAAACAGCTGTTTTCTCCTCAGCCCTGGACAACATCAGTGCCTAAAACCAAGTTCAAAACCTTTATTGGCATAGATCATAATCATACAGTCGCCAATCAGTGCCAGCGCTTCGAAATTTAAATACTTTTGCAGATTTGGCATGTGCAGCAGCAATGGGAGATTCCCCCCCTAAAACTCACCCAGAAACTTTACTAGATGATTCTGGGCATTATGGCGTAGGCAGCCTGATCTAAAGTAACAGGCTCCAATTCCTCTCCCAGCCCCCCCCCCCAAATCGTTCCCCTCTCAATGCCAGAATTTATTCCCTGCCATCACACTTTTCTTCACACAGAAAGGAACCTGGCAGCCATGATCAACAGAAAGACGGGAGGCGGGCGGGAGGAAGCGCTGAAATCCTCCAGGCTATAATTACTGCCGCAAAAAATTCAAACTGTTTGTAAATAAAGCTGGGGCGGCAGGCTTCGGCAGGAAACACGGTTCGCTTTTCTTCAACAGCAGCACAGGAAAGGCAGCGTACTGCTCCCGCAGAAGAGGAACAATGTCTGGAGGAAGGGAACGAGATCTTCTCTCAAATGGGGGGCCGTGGCGGAACAGAAGAAAGAACGACGTGTTCTCAGCTGTGCCAGAGGAATACACTAATTCCATCTAATGTTACAGAGACTGTGAAAGATCCAACAAACACAAGCTGAGCGGGGGGGGGGGGGGGGGGAGAGAG